CCACCTCCCGGCGCTTCCAGCACTCCCGACCTTCTGTGCCTTGTTTCTGTGCTGGACCTGACGTAACTTTTCGGGAAGTTTTGGGGAGAGGTTGACGTTCTCCTGTTTAATCTTTTCGGGCTCTGGTAGGAAGCTTCAGGCACTGGTGCTGTGAAACTGCAGTTATGAGTTTTATCTAGAGCTAACAAATGTGGTTTGATTTAAGGCCTGGGGTTCTTACATCCTGTAATTATTTTCCCGAGGTCTGTTTCTGTTGGAGCCGTGACTCCCAACAGCTGCAGTCGCTGTTCTTGCTCAGGCCGGAGCTGGGTGCAGCTGGAGCTGTGAAAAGGCGCTTTGCACCTCCGAGCTGTTTCTGGGGGAAGGGGCGCTTTGGTGTGCGAGGCTGGGCTGGGCTGTAACACGTGTGTGCTCCCTCGTGTGAGTGAGGAGCACCAGGAAGAGTTTCAGGCCGGGCTCGGCTGTGCCTGAGCCTTCAGAGGCTCTGCAGCTCTCCGCCTTCTGGCCCGGGCACAGCCGCTGCCCGCAGCCCGTGTGTAGCTCTGTGCGACTGCACTGGCAGCACATTGAGCAATGAAAGTGTCGCTGCATTCCAAAAATAAACAGCAGAAACGGGGCACGGAGTGGGAATATTCTCCATGCTTACACCGTGGAGCTTTGGGGAGGAAGATGTCCCAGTGTCAGCTTGGGATTTATTGCCTCTATTAAAGGGAGCAGCTGTGTCTTGAGGATTTACTTTTGTGAAGGATGTAAGTAGAGGTTTCAGTAAAACTGGTGTCTCAGTGAGGCAGCATGGCAGGTTGGTTTGAGAAGCATTCTGGAAAGCAGAAATCTGCTTGAACTCTCAGTTCCAAGTGCAGCAAAGATTTTGGCCTCTTAATTTCTTCACATCACTAAGAAATGAGGAGCCAGAACACTCCCTTGAGCTTAGTACCCATCCCAGTGGAGTTTAGGATTTAGCACAGCTTCTTGAGAAGCTGTATCAGAAATCAGCTGCTGGCAGTGACAATGACTGTCAGTGGAGTGCTGTGGTGCTCACACATGAGGATTGATGTTCCCATGCCAGGAGGGTGAAGTTGTTGGTGTTTCTCTCCTCCCTGAAGGGAGCTCCACCTGTTCACCTGGCTGTGAGGGGGGCTCTGAGGAGCAGGTTCCCTCTTTGGCAGCCCATCTCCTGCCTTGAGCCCTGGGATTTCATCCATGTGCTGCATCTGGTGCAAGAGTTGTGCTGAGGAATGCTGAAGTTGGTTTGTCCTGTGCACTTTGCAGCAGGTCCAGGCTCTGCTTGCCCCTGACACACGGGGTGGAGCACCTTGAAACCAGGGCTGTCCCATGGGGCAGGGATCCATAGTGAAAATCATCTTTTTCCTCTTAGCTGCAAGTCACGTTTCCTTTCTGGGTTGTGCTGCCAGGGCAGTGTGACACACCCTGCAGGAAGGAGAGGGTGCCGCTGGAAATGGCAGTGGAGGTGCTTGGGGAGGCTTTGCCTGTGACCCCTGGCTGCAGGAGGTAATTGTTGGCATTCCTGGCATGACGGCCATTCCCTGGGCTGAGGCTCCCAGGTGGTGCTGCCGGCCTGGCTGGTCCCGTTGGTCCCTGGAGATGAGCAGGACAAAGTCTGGTCACTGCTCAGTGCCCAGCTCAGGGTGGCCTGAGGACAGGCAGAGCTGTGTGTGATGAGCTGCTCGGTGCAGCGTCCTTTAGGAGGTTTAGTCTCTTTAATCCACCCAGGTGGGGCTCCTGCGATGTTCCTTTCCCCACCTGGAGGAACACTTTCAGTTGAAGTAGAAATCCTTCCCCTGCAGAGCTTTGAAACCAGCGAAGGTTTAGTCACTTTCTTGTGCTGCGATTGCATCAAACCAGGCCTTTGGCTTGCTGAGCACAGGGGAGCTGTGTGAACTCCTTTGAGGAACTGACTGATTTTCTTTGTTGCGCATTGTGTGTGTTTTTCTGGGAAGGTGGAGGCAGCACAGAGAGGAGACCAGATCCCCAATCTGGGACAGATGTTCCAAAAACATATCCCTGACTCCCGAGGTGGTTCAAAAGGAGTGCAAAAACCCCAGAATGCCTCCTCTGACTGGGGAGTCTGCTGTTTTGCAGTAAAAAGGAGGAGCCAAATATTAGGCAGGATTTAGGTGGGTGATAAAGCATCCTGTGGTGTGAGGGGTGGTCAGTAAAGCTCCTGTCCCACTGCTGAATTTGCATGCCCTTCCTCAAGGAGGTGCTGGTAACTTTTGCCTCAGCTGGTAAATGGTGATGTGCAAGTGAGGTTGGTGTATCTGAGACAGCTTCTTCTCGTATTTACCCTGGTGACTGTCAGGGCTTCAAAGCAGGTTATGTGGCTGCTTTAAAGTGTGCAATTATGATCTGGCCCATTTCTGCCTGGCCAAACCACATCTCTAAACTTACAGAAGGAAGGAACAGGTTTATTGGAAGGTTCAGGCAAGTTTTGTTTTGTTCACTCCTCTTGAGTGGAATATGTACATGCAGCTGTCCATTCAGGATACATAAAACCACTTAATACCTTCATAACTAAAACTGCTTAATACCTTCCTGTACTTGTCTTTGTACGTGTACTTCCTCTACACATTCTCTGTCTGTGCTGACAGAGCTGATACTTCTGAAGAGGGCTCCTCACCAGAGCTGCTGGCTGGGGGGAATTGTTTGTGGTGAGGTGAGGACGCTCCTATTCCCTTCTCTGCCTCATTAAGCAGTGCAAGTTGTGTCAAGGAGCAGCACCAGAGGCCACTTCAGTAGTCTCTGGCTTGTGGTGTTTGAGGGGAGATAAAAATAACAAACCCAGTGACTTTAAGCAGTACTTTGCTTATATTTTGATGGTAATCCCTGTTCCAGCAGGCACAGAGTTGTAACTCTTGCATGAGTAAAATCCCCTTGCCACATGGTACCTGTGCACAAAAGGCTCTGAGGTCAGGTGTGCTGATGCAAAAGTTAGTTTGCACTTGCATCTCTCTTTATAGGCTTTTCCCCTAAATATTAGTGAAGAACTGAAGGCTGAGACTGGAGCTGGCTGCTGCAGCATCTGAACTCCAAAGTGGAGAACTCTGTGCTGCCAGCCAGCTGTCAAATTGTGTCACAGATGGGAAAAATCTGATAACCACTACTGTGAATCAGCATCTTTGAAATCCGGCAGTTCTCATGGCTCCAAGTGCGATGGATGTGGGAGAACAACTTTGCTTTCTTGCTTTGTTTCAGACACATCAAAACAAGGGGAAGGTATTATGGTCTGGTCTTCCCTGCCTCATCTCAGACTGATCAGGACTGAAGCAAAAGCATAGGGAAAAACAGGGTATGTTTTATATGTCAGTGTAGAATTAACCCCAGATAGTTCATGGGTGCTGCAGTGGTTGTGAAGGGAGACACAGCAGACACAATTTATGGTTGGTAACAGAAAAATAACTGTAAAAATAACTGTAAAAGTATACAAACTGCCAAACAACCAAACCTGCAACCTCCTCATTCTCAAATCTTTGTATTGTTGTGCTCTGTTACAGAGGACAGAAAGAAGAACACACATACATGTACCCAGTCAGCACCAGAATCTGTTTTGGGGGATGAGGGAGGGCAGTTCCTTTCCTTGGTCCTTTGGGAGGCAGAGGGTGTGGGAACAGGAGCTTTGCCCATTGCCTTGGGGGAGTCCCTGATGTCCCAAAGCCCCACAGGGCACATGTTTGTGGTTTAACATCCCAAGGATGTTAAGAGGAGATGCCAAGCGAGGAAGGGGAATGGGCCATGGAGCAGGGATGGTTCCCAGCAGAGGGGTGACCATCCAGAGGGTCCCACCAGCCCATCCCTGCTGCCCAGGCTGGGGATGAGCAGGTTGTTGACTGTCCCTGTGTTTGCTCCACAGGATGAAGAAGCCAGTCCTGCTGAGGAAGATGAGGAGATGTGGAAGGATGGAGACAGCAGCCACCAAAGGCTGGGGAAGGCACAGAGCCAGGTGGGAGATGTTGCCTGCCAAGGAGAGGAACTTGTCTGTCCCATTGGAATTTGGGTTGTGCGGCCAATGGAACAAAGGGGTTGAGCTCATTTTCTTACTCAGGTTCTCATGTGCCTTGAAGACATTTGTATAAAGGTCATTATCCCTCATGGAATCTCTGAACAACAGGGGTTGAAGCTTTCTGAAGTAGCCCAAACCTGTCTGCACTTAGCCAAATGCAGCCCCTGTTCTTGTGTACAGTTGGAATGAGACCTCAGCTGCTGTTACTTGCCAGCTCCCAAACTGTGTAGCTGAGAGTCTGCAGCCCTGAAGGGCCAGGCTGTGGTTAAACAGCCTGAGGTAGCAGAGAGCTGGAGTAATTTCCTAGCAGGGAACTTGATTTGGAAGTTGCATTCCAAACTTTTGTCCACGTTTATTTTATCTCCCACATGGAGTTGCCTAAAGAAGCTGAGGTGGGGTGTTCCTAACAAAAGAACATCCAGATGCATTGGTCCTAAATGCACCTCCACTCATACTTAAAATTCAAATATGAGTGGAGGTGCCTTTAGGACACTTCCTATTCTGTAGCATATGAATAGAACTTAAGTGGAGTATCCAAATCCTGACTAGCTTGTATGAACTCTGCAAGTGTTTTACAGACAGGGAGAGAGACAAGAGTTTGGAGTCTCTCCCCTAAACTGGCTGCTGGTTTCTTTGACCAGGAATAGGAATGACTGTGTATTCCCTGGGGCTGTCCTTATGGAGAAAGGTCTATTTATCTGCCCTGGCTTTAATCAGGAAATGATGGAAACTGATTTCATTGAAATGCCAGGGGTGCCAAATGCTTTCCCCAGACAGAGCTCAGAGCCAGCCCTGAGAAAAGGGGTTTAATGCCCATTTTCCCAATCCCTTGAGGCAGCAGCACTGGAGCACTTGCACCCAAACATGACCAAGGCACTAAGTACTGGCAGGAGGCAAATCCAGGGATTGGACAGTAGGAGTTTGCACCACTCCTGTGATCCCAGACCTGGAGCTGTGCTTTAGAACTCCCAGGAGATGCTGTCTCACTCAAACCTCATTTAAAGCCCAGCATCACTCCTGCTCCCTTGGAATTATTGTTGCTTCCATTACTGCCCTATCACAATATCATTATGATTATTATTGTGAATTCCCACTCTTTCTTCTTGCTTCCCAGGGGTGGTGCTTTAGGAAAGCCCCTCCAGCCTGGGAAGGTGCTTTTGGCTCTGGACACATTCCCAGTTCCTGGGGACAGCAGGGCCCGTGCTGTCCCCAGCAGAGGAGGCAGAGGTGCCTTCCCTCCCTCTGGCATCTCTGGGGGTCTGAGGGTGTTCTTTGTCATTCCAGGGCAGAGTAAGCTCTGGTCCCACTAAAAGCAGGAGGAATCATTTTATCCTTGTTTTTGTACACATATTTTGTGTTTTCTCTCTTTTGCTGACACTGTGGTGGTGAAGCAGCAGCTCCCAACCTTGTCAGTGCTGCTCCCTGGAATAGTTTATATTTGTAGAACAGTGAATTCCCTGCTGGAATCCCAGTCACAGCCCCCCAGATCAATGTGCAGTTTAAGATCTTACAACCTGACCTGGACAATTTCCTGTCTCCAGACAGGGAAAACTCAGCCTGGATTGAAGCCAGAATCCAGAATGGGGGAAAGTGAGGCAGCACGTTCAGCCCAGGCTGGGGTTGGCATAGGGGGTGATCCCTGTTGGATGGCACCCATGTGGAACAGATCCTTCCCCTCCTTTGTCCAAAGTCCAATGGCAAAGCATGGAATAACTCACAAGGAGGGCCTGGAATGAAAATGGGCCTGTTGAAATTAGGCAAAGAATGCAATGAGAAAAAATGGGCATCCTTTTGTGTATGAAAAAAATGTAGGGAAAAAATATTGGAAAACAGCACTTTTATTTGGTGCCACCTCTCATTTTTTATGGATAAAACCCCATGGTGAGCAATCAGAACAGAAGTGGGAAAACCAGGAGCCTTTGCCTTCTACAGCAGACTTAACTTCCATTTTCTCTTCTCTTTCAGGACAGGAAAAAGCACTTAACTCATCCCATCTTTGCCCAGAGCTTTGGTGTTTGAGCAGCCAAACCCAACAAGCTCCAGAACTGCTGGCCTGCACTGGAGGGCCCCAGGTCCTGCCCATGGTGTGGGGTGAGTCTCCAGCTGTCCCCAGAGTGTCCCAAATGCAGAGGGATCTGCCCTGGTCCCTGCAGTCCCCAAGGCCTGGGACACAGCCCTTGTCACAGCCCTTGTTTTGACAGGCCCCTGTCCAAAGCGGCCTTTGGCTCCTTGTCAGGAACGTGGTGGCAGCCCCGGGGCAGGTGGGAGCTGAGAACTGGGGCAGTGTTTGAGCCTCAGCCAGGGCAGGGCAGGGTTTATCTGAGTTTCAGCAGGATCAGGGGGGCAGATGCTGCATTTTGTGTATCCTGGGAGTTTCTGTCCCCCCTGGAGATTTCCTGCTGGGATGTGGCAGCACAGGGAGCAGAATTAAACCTGCCCCTCCCTCCCCTGGGCATTGCTGGCCTTTATACCTCTGCTGTGACATCAGACCAAGGGAATTTGCTACTGCCACCCCAGCTGGGGGCTGTGTCCTCCTGGCAGCCCTTGCCATCCCCACACACAAGCTCCAGAGGTGCCTCTGTGCCCTGTTGGGAGTGTTTGCTGGGAATGTGCCCCATCCCTGGAGGATCCTTTTTTCCCAGAGTGGCCAGACAGAGCTTTTGGGCTCGTCAGCTTCAGACTTTGAAGGCAGAAGTCACTGAAAGGGAGGAGGACAAGGAGGTTTGTCAGAGTGGTGCTGCCACACCCCACCTGACAGTCTGTGCTTCGTGTGTGAGGTCATTGTGGATTTGCACTGCAGGGAATGAATGTCCCCTTCCCAGTTCAGCCCAGCAGATCCCAAGGGCTCTTCCAGGAATATTTATCCTTTACTTCCCTTTGTGACAACTTAATCCCCACCCTGCCATGAGCAATTCCTTAATTTCTCCTGGAGAAAACTTCATGGCAGAGGCAGTTTGCAAAGGAGCCCAGAGTTGTGTTTGGAGCAGAGGATGCTGAGAGCTTCACCTGCCTGTGCTGCCCAGCCTGGCACTATCCTCATGGAACAGCCTGGGCACATGGGATTAGATGGAGCAAAATCCCTTCATGGAAGAGGTTTTCTCCTGTGCAGAGCAGGCAGGGGGCAGGAAATGAACTCTGGAAATCATCAGATTTTCCCCAGAAAGCACCACTCACCTCATCCTGAATGACATGACCTGTGCCCACTGCTCAGGATTCACCCACCCAAAATCAAGAGCAAAAATTGGTTTGGGTTTCAGGGCTTGAAATAACTCTGAAACAGAATAAATCACCTTTTTCTTCTTCTTTCTTTCAGATGCTGGACTTACATCTGCGGACATGTGCTCAGCTCTCACTGCAGGGAACCGTCAGGCCTTGATGGTTGTGAGTCCATGTTCTTCTCACTGGAGAATTGGAAATAATTATGAATTAATTGCAGAAGAGTTTTCTCAAAGCTTTCCCCTTTCTCCCAGCATGTGGAACAAGGGCAGAGAGGAGGAGCAGAAGAGCAGCCTGGGGCTTGAGAGAGGCACTGTAGGCAAAGGGACCTCCCTGGTGCCACCAGGGCACCTGTGGGGAACTAAATGGACACTGAGGGCAAAGTAGAGGCAATTGCTGGCAGAGCTGGGGGAAGATCTGAGTTCAGCTACAGGGAATAAGCATGGGGATAATTTTGAGGAAAAGCTGAGGTGATGTTTATGGGAGAGAAGGAGTCAATATTTTACAGGAAGGAAAATTTTGGAGGTAAAATTTGATGTAATCTGTAGGGGACAGAATGGATGTTTTGGGGTAAAAATGAGGTACTCAGAATGGATCGGTGGGGAAAATTCTGGAGGCACAACCTGACCAAATCTCTAGAGCATAAAACAAACATTTTGAGGGAAAAATGAGGTGATGAGCAGCTAGTGTGTAAGGAAAATTTGGGGGTTAAATCTGAGATAATCTATAGGGGAGAGCACAAACATAGTAGGGTAATATGAGGGAATCAGTTATGGGCAGGTAGGGAAATTTTGGGGGGTAAAAATAATAAGAAATTATCTGTAGTCAGAAAATGAACGTTTTGAGGTAAAAAATGAGGTCATTAGTAGTAGGCAGATGGAAAATTGGAGAGGAAAATCCTGAGAAAAGCTACATGGTAAAAAATCAATACTGAAGTTAAAATGAGGGCATCAGTAGTGGACAGGTAGAGGAGTTTTGGGGGCTAAGTTTGAAATAATCTTAAGGTTGACAATTAATATTTTTAGTTAAAAATGAGGTAATAAGTTGTAGATAAGCAAGAAAAATTTTGGGGGTAAAACTTGAGTAAATCTCTAGGGAGAGAGTGAACCCTGACAATCTGAGGCAGTTAAGGAAGTTTTTGGGGGTATGACTTGGGAAAATCTGTAGGACAGAGAATGAACATATTGAAGTAAAAAGGAGATGATTTGGAGTGGACATGCAGGGAGAATTTGGGGGCCAAACCCTGATAAATGTGTCAGAACAAGAAATGATTTTGAGAAGAACTCTGATGTGATGTGTAGGGGGCAGAAGGAACATTTTGGGGATAAGACAGACATAACTTGTGTGGGTTTGGTTTTCAAATCTAGTTAGTGTATAGGGGACAAAATGGACATTCTGGTCATAAAATCTGAGTTACCCTGTAGAGGAAAGAAGGCATATTTTGAGGTAAAAAGGAGGTAATCAGAATTGGGCAGGTAGGGAAAATATTGGGGGAAAAAAAGTGAGGTAGTGTCCAGAGTAGAGAATAAATACTTCCTTGTAAAAAATGAGGAAAGCAGAAGTGAACAGACAGGGAAAATCTGGAGGGGAAATGTTAAATAATCCCCAGGGAAGATAATGAAAACAGAGGTAATCACTTGTGGACACAAATGAGAATTTTGGGTGTAGAAAGTATTATTTTCTCCAGGATGGAAAATTAATATTTTGAGGTGAACAAGAGATAACTAGTAGTAGACCGGTAGGGAAAATCTTGGGGTAAAACTTGAAATAATTAGTAGGGCAGAGAATGAACATCTCAAGGGAAAAATGAGATAACTAGTAGTGGACAGAAAAGGGAAATTTTGGAGTAAGCCTTTAGGTAATCTCTAGGTGAAAGAAGAAACATTTTTAAGATAAAATTAGTTGATCAGTAGTGGACGTCAAGGGACAATTTGAGGGCAAAACCTGATATAATGTGTAAGGGTGAGAAGTATTTTGGAGAAAAAAGATCTGACGTAATTTGTAGGGGCCAGATGAAGATTTTGGGGATAAGACAGACAGAACCTGTATGGTTTTTGGTTTTAAAAATCTAGGTAATATATTGGGGAGAAAATGGACATTTTGATCACAAAATCAGAGTTAACTTGCAGGTGAAAGAATGAATATTTTGGAGGTCAACTGAGGCAGTCAGTAGTGCACAGGAAGGAAAATGTTGGGGGGAAAATGCAATGGCAGCTCAAGGTGAGGAAATGACTGGAGAGAAACTCAGGACTCGCCTTGTCCTTCCTGGGCAGAGCCAGCAGGGAAGGGAGGAGAGGCCCCAGTGGGACGAGGCTGGAGAGGGACAGGAGAAAGGCAGAGGGACCTCCCTGTGCCACCAGGGCACCTGTGACACAAGGGACACTCTGAGAGAAGGTGGAGGTGAGGAGTGGGCAGTGTGGGGCAAAATCTGAGCTCATCTGCAGGGAAATAAGTAGGGAATATTTTGGAGAGGAAAGCTCAGGTGATAAATTCACCAAGTTTGGCCCAAGTTGTGTTTGCACAAAGTGGGACCAGGGGTGAAGGTTAATCCAAAGCCAACCCTGCTCAGCCTCTAAATTCCAGAATAAATTCTACAAGCTGCCCATGGAGGGACTAAAAATAGATAAAAACAGAACAAGAGCATACCAAAAGGTTCCTGGGAATCCCAGCATAGTGTTGTCAAATCCTTTTAACAGATCTTTAAGATCTGCATTTCTCTGTTGGGATCATTCACTCCACGGGCAATGGGGTTTGTTTGGATTTGAGCTCCCTTCCCAGTGGCCCTGACACTGCTCAGGAGCTGGCAGGAAAAGCAGAGTCAGAGCTCCTAGCAGGGTCAGGGTGTTTTCCCCCAGAGTTGCTGCCCACCAGGCTGGCTAGGAGAGATCTGCCTTGGCTTCTACAGGGAATGTTTTCAGTGACTCAGAGGAGATTCCACAGCCTGGTGTCCCAGCCTTCCCGAGCAGCCGAGCTGCTCTCCCGTCCCTCCTGCTCCCAAGCCCTCACTGAGCTGAGGGGAATCTGTCCTGCCAGCAGCAGGGGAAGGACCCTGGGGCTTGGCTTGTCCCTCTGGGGGATGTTGGGATTTACATCATTCCATGCATTTGGCTGCTGGAATTTCCCAGCCCAGGGGCTTTAGCTGACAGAGCAGCACAAAGATGGCTCTCGGTGTGGCACCCAGATCTCGGGTTCAGTATCAGCTTTGCTGGTTCAGATTAATTATACCCACAGCCCCAAATTCCCTGCTGAATTCCTGCTGGAATAACCCAACGGTGCTTTGTGGAGTCTGGACATTCCCATGCAGAGCTGCCATTGAACATCAGCTGTTGCAGGAACCAGGAGAGGTTCCAGGACAAGGACAGGTTTATATTCCATAGAATTTGCTATTTATAACCCTCATCCCCCAGCCTCACTGATGTCCCTGGAGGACACTTGACAGAGTTCCCTGGAATTCAGCTGATTTCACCCCCCTGAGCTCGGGCTCCAGCTGAAATTCTAAAGCAGGAGAAGGCGATGGCTCCTGGCCCATGCTGAGGCAGCCCCTGTGCCCAGGGGAGGACATCTCTCCCTGCAGGAGCTGACTCCATCATCTCAGAGCCTCAGGAGTGCCTCTGCAGGTTCTTTTCCCTCAGGAAAGGGATGCACATCCCTACTTCCAGCACACCTCCAGTGGGACCACCTGTGCAAGATTTCCATCAGTTCAGTGGCTCCAGCTGGCTCCCTGGAACAGTCCAAACTTCATCCAAACAAAACTTCATCCCACTCTAACCTTTTATTTAAAGGCCTCTCGGAGGGCATTGCTTGGGGTTTCATTTCTTGGGGGGAAGATTCCCTTGGCTTTAATGCTGCTGAGGAATGATGTCCCCAGGCTGGAAGGGAAGGGGTTTGGGGGGCTGGGACACACCTGGGATGTGGGTGTGGCACGCTGCCTGCCACGGGCAGGACACTGAGGCACAGCTCCTTCCCTGCAAACACCAGGGCAGGAGGTGCTGGGTCCCTTCCTGGGGCTCCTGGCCTCCTATGCCCCGCATTCCCAGCCAGCTGGGACCCACTGAGGAAGCACCAAGGAACGTTCCTGGCAGGGAGGGGGAGTCACCAAGGGCTCCGTGCAGCTCTGGGCCAGAAAAGTGGCCCCAGCCTCAGCACCTGCAGTGATTTTGGGCTGTGAACACTCACCTGCAGGAAACAACCCTCTGCAGGTGAAACCAGCCCTGACACTCTGCTGAAGAACTCTGCCCATGGACCAAGTGAACCCTCAGGACTTGTCCTGCTCATTTCCCCTTGGAAAGGGACATGGAATGAGCTACTTGACAGTTGGGTAAATCCTGGAAAAGCAGGAAACCAAGGTTATTGAAGAGTCTTGTGCTGTCCTGTGAGACACCAGCCCCTCCTGCTCTAGAGCCAGTCTAGGGGCTGGT